AAATAACCCCCCCCTACCCCCGAAATTCCCCCAACTACAACAACAAAAAACAAACAAACAACCTAACAATCTTCCAATTTTTAGAAAAGCAATCTCAAGACTTTAGCGTGAGATAATGAGGAGTCATGCCTGTTACACCAAAGCCCATCAACGACGAAGGAAGAAAAGATGGATGGATTGGCAGCTTCACTCAAAAGGGGAACGGTTTTACATTAGTATACTCAACAACAAAAGTTACGCAAGTTGTACAGCTACTTAAATAATAATATGTGGGTGTGCAATAACCCACATTCGTTAGAATGTAGGCCTTGACCCATTTTTTTATTTTGTTTGTATTCAGTGATGTTGTGAGCTCATGTCCTCAAGCTGAAAAATGCTCGCAATATAAAATGAGTTCTCAATATGTCGGCGAAGAAAAAAATGTAAACTGAGTATTTTCTTAAGCATGCCAGTTGGCGAGCAGTTTTTATCCTCTGTAAAGTGTTCACCCGAGCGAGGGTAATAAATTGACAGGACAGGACGTAACGCTTTCTTCAGTGGAGTGTTTTGAGAGAGCGACCATGCCACGATTCAAAGAAACAAACCGAAAAGGGATATCTGCAGATTCCTGGCGGGAGAGAGTCCGACAGATGTGTCTATTGTCATGGGTGTGTCCCTCTCAACAATATGTCGACTCCGGAGACGTTTTCGAGTCACTGCAAGTACTCGTGATGCTCACAGAACTAGCCGACCACGAGTGACGTCAGTACGCCAAGACCGTGCCTTTCTGCGGAATCACCTGCGAGACAGCTTCATGTGTGCTACCAAATCGGCCTGAAATCTGGTTGGAAACCATGGAAGAGCCATTTCAGGTCAGACAGTGCGCCGCCGGCTTCGAGAAGGACAACGGCGATGTCGTCGACCTTGAGACGTGCAGTCCTCTCTGCAAGACATTGGCAGCAACGTTTGGCGTGGGCTCAGCAACATGTGAACTGGCCCTGGCGACAGTGAAAAAATGTCCTATTCACTGTCGAAAACTGTTTTTGCGTGAGTCGAGGAGATAGAAGAATCCGGATATGAAGAAGATCCGGCCAACAGTTTGCTGACAACAAAGTCCTGCAGGCCGATGCATGGGGTGATCCCAGCATAATGATCTGGGGTGCATTTGGCGTAAACCAGCTCTTGGGACCCATTGTATTCCAGAACATTGGACCTGGTCAAGGTAACGGAGTTATTGTACTGCGTTACATCCAACAGGTACTGGCGACTGTGATCATACCTCATTTCTAGCAACATCCAAACTTTATCCTGCAGCAGGACAATACTCGACCCCATACTGCAAGAGCTATAGCAGCCTTCTTACAGCAGAACAACGCCAGGGTGCTGCCATGGCCCTCAATGAGCCCAGACCTCAAACCGATCGAACACTTTTGGGACCACATCCAAAGAGAACAGAATCGCTTTCTTCTAAGACCAACAAAAGCACCTCAGCTGCTGCAAACAATCACACAAATTGGTGCAAATATGAACATGGACATCATTCACAGACTTGTGAGGCCAAAATCAAACAGATGCCAGGTTGTTGTGAACGCAAATAGCGGGAAACACACGCTATGGATTTAAGGGGG